AACCACCAAAGGTGATGCTGGCTTCTAATGCAAATACATACTTTAGGATAAACTTCCTTATATAAGCTATGTGCTACATGTTATTTGTTATAAGAATGCAAACAATGTTTAGTTCTGTTTTTATTTTTATATGAACTTACGTCATCAGGCTTTAAATATAACTTTCTCTTCTGAAAAGGAAAACTTATTGATTGGTCAGATTATTCAGAATCATATGAATCTAATAAGGTTAAAAGAGTTGTTTTTTAAAATTGAATTTTGGAATTTTTATAAAGGAAGAATGATGGAAAAAAATATTTTTAAATTAAGAAAAATAAAATGGCATTTGATACATTCAAAATCCCATGTCTAACAGTACTCAGTACATAGTATACTTCAGTAAATATTTGTGAATTAAAGAATGATTTACGAAGTTGGAAAAAACTTACATGGTCTTAAGGACCTCATTTGAAACTTATAATAGGATCTCTCTTTGTGATGTCAGTGTTGAATTCACTGACAACTGTACCTTAGTAATTTTTAAAAAATGTTTTTATTGATTTCTGAGAGAGGAAAGGAGAGGGAGAGAGAGGTGGAAACATCAGTGATGAGAGAGAGTCTGCCTTCTGCACAGCCCCATTGGGGACTGAGCCCACAACCTTGACGTGTGCCCTGACAGGGAATCTAACCATGACCTCCTAGTTCATGGGGCTACGCTCAACCACTGAGCAACTCCAGCCAGGTAAAAATTTACTTCTTTACAAAGTAAAGGTCAATCTGATATTCACTGCCAAACGATCTGTTTTTGCAGTGTCAGCTAAGAAAATTCACATATATAATCTGTCAACGTTAGGAGGATAATTAATTTTTTTCCAGAGCTCTACAGTGTTAAAGTGTTTTTATTATCTAATTTAATTACTCTTCAGACCCCAACTTTATAGGTATTCTGAATCAATGAAAGTGAAATGAGAACGTTTTATCTGATGAAATTTTTTTCTTGAATCTTATGAAGAGAATAGTAATAGATTTTTAATGGAAAAATTGATACAACTATTTCAGTTTCATCAAAATAAGGCTAGTTGTACCATAGTCCTTTGTAATAAAATATGAATCCTTATGTAGTTTAGTTGTCTACTTCCTAGTTGTTTTGAATTTTTCTTATTTTAGGTAGGTAGGACACCAATATTTTTGTTAGTTTAAAATGGAATTAGTGATGAAATTTCTTCTGCTCTCCAGTTTGGTTAACTCTTAAATCTGTTTTCTCTGAGTAGAAAGAGGACTTGAGTGTGGGGATGGAATATTTGCATATTCCTTTAGGGAACGTTTGTTGAGAGTCTTACATGCACCTAACACCAAAGTATAGGTTCTGGGATTTCAAGAAGAGGTTTGGACCCTGATCTTTCTTTCAGGGAACTTGCATTGTCTACAGACAGGGACAAGACTTGATGGATGAAGTAACCAAACTGTCACTGCTAAAGTTAGTGGTACACGCAGTGAGGGTGAAATAAAAAGGATGAAGCCCGTGGATATTTTTAAGGGAGCTCAATTTCCAGATTCTAAAATTGATCAGTCTCTTATTTCTTCCTTCCACCTTATAAAGGAAAGGTACATCTCTTGGCTGTCCCAAATAGTACATGCCCTGTGGTGAGAGGCTCCAAAGAGACAAATCAAATATTGGTGAGGTTGTTGGGAAGGCAGTGACTCCGATGACTGATGAACATCTTGTTACAAGTTACGTGGTTTCCAATCCTTAGTCTTCAACAAAATTGAAGGACCTGATCAAGTTGTTAGCTGATCATTAAAAGTAATTTCTATAAAAAAATAGAGAAGTCAAATAAATGCCATACTTTCCAGAAAATTTTAAAAATCACAATTGATTATTGTGATTTCTTTGCATATAAATTAAAGAATTAAAATAATTTGGCATTACTATAATAAAACTCATACGCTTATTTATGTGAATAAGATTTCTTAACACATATTTATAATAATGAAAAATAGGAATAGACTAGGAATAGAATATTTACAATAAACAATATTCACTCATAGATACATGAACTAATTGAAAATAAGAAAACCTTATCCATCTCATGAAGAGATGCAGTTAAAATTCTTTTCTTCCTCTTCCCCTCCCCATTTTTGAATAATTGGTTTGTTCTAATCAGAATGCAGAAAAGGTCTATTTGATGGGTGTGTCTCAAGTCAATCCCCCCTTTTTCTTTGAATTTCTTTATTATAATTTTTTTAAAAAAAAATATCTTTATTGATTTCAGAGAGAGGAAAGGAGAGGGAGAGAGGGAGATAGAAACATCAATGATTTGAGAGTCATTGATCGGCTGCAGCCCACAACCCGGGCATGTGCCCTGACCGGGAATCGAACCCCGATCGCCTGGATCCTAGGTCGACGCTCAACCGCTGAGCCACGCCTGGCCGGGCTGAATTTATTTATTATAGAAACCAGGCTTATTAAATACCTTCATCTAAAAGCTCTTTATGATTTGATTCTAGCATTGTTTCCCGTTACGCCTGTGTTCTCATCATAGTCCTGTTACACAGCCCTGAACTCACCTTTTCTTATGTTTTTCACATTCCCTCGTCTCCACGTTTTTGACAGTGTTGTTTCCTTTGACTCTATTACTTTCCTTCCTTCCTTTGTGTTCCTGCCAGATCTACTCAGCTATTAAGACAGAGCTGAAGCATTATCTCCTTTTAGAAGTCTTCCCAGGCTTTTCCAGTCTGAGTTAGGTACCCCTCTCCATCTGCTGGGGTTCAGATAGGAAACAGTTAACATTTGCACAATAGGTGAAAGGGAATGTCCTGAGGGACTACTTACAGTGAATGGGCAGGGTTAAGGGAATCCAACGAGGAATGGTTCAGCACCTAGGGACTAGCAGAGATAATAAGTTGCACCATCTTTGGGCCAGCAAGGGCAAAGGCACCTAGTATGGGAACCCAGAGAGACCCTCGCTGTTGTTTCTGATTTACTGAATCCACTTTGAAGTCAGAGGGCAAGGGACCCCAGTTTATGTGGTTCATAAAGGTCAGCCTCCTAGGACACTAAGCACTGGATAAAGAAAGGAGAATGGTTCTGGAGGAGCAGGTAGAGAACATTCAGCACACCCTAGTTATACTCCTACATACTTCATTGTATCATTTATCATATTGACTGGAAATTCATTGCTTGTATTAATGTTTTCTCCATAGCACCATGAACTCCTTTAGAGCTATAAACTGTCTCTTACTTATATTTGTATAACCACAGTACTCATTAGATATTTGTTGATTAAGTGAATAAAAGTATAAAAAGATGGATGAGATACATAATTTAAAAGGTCTGTCCTACTTAGTGGTAATGTGTGGTGATTCTTAGTTCAGAAGAGTAAATCTAATAATATTTGCTTTGTTTGCAGTATGGATGTTTCTGCAATAACTGGCTCACTCATTTTGATTGAAGAGAGATCAGGGATTAATTTAGGCCATAATAGGTTACTACATTTAGAAGGATTATAATGCAGGACTCTGAGTTGGCAGCTTGGTGGCCTAGTTAGTATATTTATGCACTCTCTTTTGCTGTAGAAAAATCATGATGCAGGGAAAGAATCTGTAGAAGCCATAAGATCAAAATGTTGACTTCAGGAAGAATGTGCTTTTTCAAATCTCTTAAATATGTGAAAGCTGGTCTCTGTGGAAAATTCACCTCTATTGATAACCACCCTTATTGATGGAAATTCCCTCTTTTCCCCCAATTAATTGAACTAATTATCATATGTTTGCTATATAGGCTTCTTAGAATTGTTGCATAAAAAATTACTCTAAAACGTACAGGCCTAAAACAAACAATAATTTTTATAGTCTCATGGTTTCTGTGGGTTTGGGAAGAGCTCTGCTGGATGGTTTTGGCTCAGGGTCTCTTCTCTGTTTTATTCAGATGGTGGTTGGAGCTGGAATAGCTGAGGCTGGCTGGGCATTTATATCTTTTCAGGAGGTCTGTCAGCATTGGCCTAGTTTATGGAAGCTCCAGGGCAGTTACGCTGCTAATTGTGACTGGCCCAGGGCACCAGCAGGAATTCTCCAGTGAGCGAGGTGAAAGCTGCATCTCTTTTTCTGACTTGCCACATTTTATTGGTTACAAGCGAGTTAGTTAGTTTCAAGTTTTAGATTCAAGTAGCAAGAGCATAGATCCCATCTCTTAATGGAAAAAGTGTCAAAGAATTTGCAGCTATTTAAAAATTTCATAGGTGGCAGCAGTGGTAGCTGCTGCTGCCTTTTGTTTTTTGGGTCGGACTACATACTCTTTGGTACCCTAATCTAATAGATACCATTTTCCAGCTTTTATAATTTAGTTATGGTATGTTCTGCCTTTGAAGTTTCCAGGAGTTTTTTTTACAGAGTACATAACAAGTAGCATAAGCATTTTCAATAGCTTCTTGAAAAGTTATGATAGTTTGTCATTGAAGTATAAAATCCATAAATTATTTTGGTAAAGATTAAAGATACTCTCCCTGGCCGGGGTGGCTCAGTTGGTTGGGTGCTGTCCTGTGCACCAGAAGGCTGCTGGTTTGGTTCCTGGTTCAGGGTTTCAGCTTGATCCCCGGCGGGGGGCGGGCATGAGGACGCAGCTGATCAATGTTCCACTCTCACACTGATGTTTCTCTCTCCCTCTTCTTCTCTCTTTAAAAATCAATTTAAAAAGTCTTAATAAAAAAAAAAGAATAAAGATATCAATGGAAACAGAAGGAGACTGGTAAAAAGAAAGAAGACATACTATTTGAATAAAACAATTTATGCAAATTTATGAATTTAATTCTTTAATTCTCTGGAATTATTTTTATAATGAAAAAATATAATTCAGGCTTCAGAATCAGAGAATTTTAGTGGTCCATCATTGGGTCTGAATTGTTTTTCTTTAGCCCTGTATAACCCATTATCCACAGAGCAGCTTCATTAAAAAAAAAAAAAATTGGCTAATTGGGTGCCGGTGATGTATGAGGCTGAAAACTTCTGTATGTACTTCATACCAGGCAGCCTGGCGACTGTCCTTCCTCAACCCTCACAAAAAGGGAGGCTTATTTTGTGGAGAAAGTTAACCAAACTGGTTCTACATCCAGGGGACCCTTCACTGTGGAAGGTAGGAGAAGTGCTCACCTGAAAATGAGGGGGGGACTGGCAATATCGTAAATAGATTTTCAGCCGCCTTGCACTGCTCAGGTTCAGGAACACTAGCAGCCAATTATGTCTTTTATCTTTTCTGGGAAAAATTGGACAGTTTACAGAAAAGACTTTAATAAATACAGTAATATCTTCATGGCTGCTTCAGGATCTCGCACTCTTGCAGTTTGAATGCCAGTGTGAATGCATGTTAGCATTGAAGTCTTAAGTAGCATAGGAAGTTGAATTGAATACATGGGACAGATAGATACATTTTAGAAATTTAAAAAATTACTGTAAAGTACTAGAAAAGTAAATCATTACCCAGAGATTACATTACACTTTAGATTATGTTTAAACATTTTCTTTGTTTAATAGTCCTCGGCCCAGAAATGTACGTTAATGGGGAAATTATGGTACTTTCCCCCCTAAGTTTAAAAATAGGTTTATATTGATATGCAGTCAAGGAATTTCTTTGTTATTGTTTTCTTTCTTTCTCTATTTAAAAGTTTTTTAACTTTGCTGCACAGTGAGGGAGGGAAAGATCCGAGTTACCGTGGGGTAATGTTTTTTGGCTTGAACTCTGAAGAACAAGACTTGGGCCTTGTTCTGATGTTCTGATTGATTTGAGGCGACTTAAACAAATTGTTACCCAGTGTTTTTATCTTGCGTGTATGATTTAAAAAAGTTAAAAAATAGAATAAGCTAAAATGTATATACATGGCAAATTTAGCTTGTACAGAAGACTACAGTGAAAAGATTAATTTTCATGTGCTGCCTTTTCTTAATGTGACTCCTCCAGATGTAATGTTGAGTTTCACCTACTTAGTAATTTGCCAACGACTGAAGTAGAGGATGCTGGTGGTTTTGCCCCCTTCTGTTGGTAACTTACCCTACTTTTTCTTTTGGAAACCTCTTCTGTCTCACTCACAGTCCAGGTAATTCCAGTGGCATAAGCCCAATTCATAGACTCAAGCTGATCTAATCTCCGGGTGGAGAGAGATGTATGAGCAAAACCATAGGCTATAAAATGCCAAGTTATGTGTATGGAGTAGGGTAGGGAGGGGAAGAAAAGCAACACCTGGTCAGATTGTACAGTGACTTGAATGACAGGCTAAGGAGTCTGGATTTTATGCAGCAGGTAGTCAGGAGTTAATAAACATTTCCATACAGGGGAAGGATTTTGAATTTAAAATTAATTTCCCATTCCTTTCAGCCCTGATGGTCAAATCCTACTTTTTCTCCTTTGAAATCTCTCTTGACCCATCCTTTCCTTTTCCATCCTTACCCATTCCAATACCATAATTCAGTCCTTGTTACATCAGACTGAGATTGTTGCCGTAGTTAACAAACAGATGGTTTCTCTGCTCTAAGCACTTTGTCCAGCAGCCCATTCTGGACATCAATATCAGATTAATCTTACCTAGAGCTTCACTTTGATCATGTCTTTCTCCTTCTCAGAAACCTTTCGTATCTCCCTGTTGTTGACAGGATAAGATCCAGACTTCTTAGCCTGACATTCAAGGCATTCCAAAAATTAGTCCAGTCTACCTTTTAAGTCTTACCTTTCCCCCTTTATTTAACCTGGATTCTAGCGAATTTGGAATGTTCCTTTTATCCTCTCATGTATCTAGCCCTTTCCATTTGTTAATTTTGTCTGTTTCTTCCTCCTGGGTTCTCCTTTCTCTAGTCTCTAGTTAAAAATTATTCACATCCTTAGAGTTCAGTTAACATTGTGCCTCCTTGTAAAGCTTCTTCAAATAATTTAGAAGCTGGTTTGAGTTCTTTCCTCTGAAATCTCAGAACTCTTTGCGTATACTTAAGGCACTTGTCACTTAATGCTTTCTGCTGTGCTTGTCTTAACTGCCTTGCTAGACTATATAACATAGTAAGGTGTTTATTTTCCACACACAGTGCTTTCATATACTCGTGCTTGATAAACATTTGTTCTGCTAATTGAGCTTTCCTATTTTTGACTACCTCTCCCCTTCTCCCCCTCCCTTTCTTCCTCTCTCTAAAGCTCAATAAACATATCCTCTGCTAAGGATTTTAAAAAATATATATTTAATTTCTTTGATTCTTAGTGTGGTAATAGCAAATTTTTATTTGCTATTTCTACTTCTCTGAAGTCCTGTGTTTATATTGTTTTAACCATTTTCTAGTCTGCCTGAATTTTTTCTGATTTGTAGACATTCTTTATAGGTTCTGGATATTAACCCTTTGTTATACTCTGTTTTGTTTCTGTCATTTCTTTTAACTTTGTTCATGGTAACTTTTGCCATATAGAATTTTTTAAATGATTAAATGTGATGAGATTAAAATTTAATATTGCATAAAGATCAAATCTGGCATTTTGTAGAGTTGACATTATAATTATTATGCTAGTCTTAAATTTTTAAGGAAAGTTTGATAAATCTTAACTGATTATAGTTTTATTTCATTTTCTTGCTGTTACTTATAACATGGACATTCAAAAATCGTTCTTTCAAATATAAAGTTGCATACAGGAATCATTTCTAGTTGCATACTTGAAATCATTTTTTCAAGTATAAAGTTGCAAAAGGAACTTTTGTTCCTAATTTTAAATTATAAGGACAAAATTTAAATAGCTGGATTGTATCAGATGATATTGAAATGACTCAATTTTTAAAGGCCAGTAGTTTCTATCTGTATAACTTTTTTTAAAGTTCTTTTTTTCCCAGAGTTGGTTTCATTTAGAATTGATACATTTTTCCGAGAAATGAAAACCTAGAAAACCTATTTATTTTCTGTGAAAAAACAGGAAAAGGAAAGTGAAATCTTCTATCACTTTGGACTGAAGCTCCTCTTTACTGATGTTTTAATAAGTGCATAATTATGCTGCTTGAACAATAGATTCAAAGCATATAGAAGAACTTGTGTCTCTTCCACAATTTTGAGCATATTTTTCTGTGAAAGGTATGCTAGTGAAAATTCTGTCCTAAATAAATGATTAGTAAACTGATTGTAGTAATGTTTAATCTCTCAAAATATAAAATAATTAAAAAATAACAAAAATTTCATCTTGAATTTTGTCCAAGATTGCAAATTTTTCCCCAAGATTGCAAAGGTGATTTAACTATAGAAAACATGTTAATATACTTGCCCTGCTGGAGATCGAACACTGAACGAGGGTGTGTGCCCTGACTGGAATTGACCCCACCATCTTTTGGCACATGGATGACACTCCAACCCAGTGAGCCACACCGGCCAGGGCTTTCCTTGAATTTCTTGAAAATGCTTCTCCACAGTTGCCTCGCTGTGTATGTTGTTCTTGAGAACTTTGATATCAGCCTGTTTTCTTACGTTAATTTGATCATGCCTGGAAGCCCTGGGGATTTCTTTTTTTTTTGTCTTTAAAGTCTAGTCACACAAGGATATGTCTCAGGGTTGACTGTTTTGAGTCAGTTTTCCCATGTATATCATGGGCCCTTTGAATATGTAGATTTGTTTTCTCTTATTTCTGGGAAGTTTTTTTGGATTATAGTTTGAAATGTTAGTTCTAAAAAGCTTTCATTATTTTATTTTTCTCCCTGGGGACTCCCAGTTGTATGTATATTGACCTTCTTTGCCTCCCTTCTGTTTCAGCCTTTCTCTCTGACCCTTTCGACTTTTCCTTTATCTCACTGTCATTCTCTTGGCTGTCCTCCTGCCTTTCTTCAGTGACCCTTTATTAGATTTGCATTTGATTCTGTTCTCCCATGAGTGTCTTGTAATTTATTTTCCATTTCTGCAGTGGTTTTATCTTCCCTCAGCATCTTCCCTGAGGTTGATCAGTGGTCTTTTTCCTTCTCCCCCTCCCCCTCCTCTCCTTCTCTCTTCTCCTCCTTTCTTTTCTTAGTTTTATGTGCATCTCCAAGTTTTTGCTTGAGAATATTTAATTCAGCTTAGAGTGTTTGTTATGGTGTGTCGTGTCCCCCCCCAGTGTGTTTTTTGGGAGGGACAGTTTTCATCAGTCGAAGTGTTTTATTTGCATTTCCTGTTTTTATAGTATGTTTGTATGGAGAGTATAAAATTCTTCATAGCCTTTTTTTTTTTAGATATATTTTTATTGATTTCAGAGAGAGGAAGAGAGAGGGAGAGAGAGAGATAGAAACATCAGTGATGAGTCATTGATCAGCTGCCTCCTGCATGACCCTGACTGGGGATCGAGCCCACAACCCGGGCATGTGCCCTGACCCGGAATCGAACCCCGATCACCTGGACCCTAGGTCGATGCTTAACCGCTGAGCCACGCCTGGCCGGGCTTCATAGCCTTTTTTGGGTACTCTTTTTGTAGTTGTCTTTGTTCTTAAGTGAGTTTAAATAATATGCAGTGTTGAGAGTTGCTTAGTGTTCTAAGCATATTATTAAAGCTTCAGATTTACAGGGACCATAATTTTACTGATTCCCATGATGCCTCTAATTAATTGATGTTGTGAAATAATTCATATTTTGTGAACAGCATGTCAGTGAAGGTGGTTAAGTCCTGGAAGTTAAGCTGCAATGTAGTGAGTACGACACACTTACTGGTTCGTTCTAAGTTTTATTGTAAATATACGCTAAGACATTTATAGAGATGACTATTTTATTATTTTTATTATTAGCTTATTAATAATAATACATTTATTATTATTTTTACCCAGCTAATACAGACGTTTCACCTGGGATGGAATGACACTTGGGTGGATGTGGGGGAATCAACGGGAAGGGAGTTTCTTGCCTCTGTTTCTGTTCTGTACTCTCTTTCTCTCAAGTTCGTCATCCCTTGCTCTGATTTAAGGGATCCAGATCAACTCCCAGTACCCCGGATACAGAGGAATCTGTCATTAGGTATTTTAATAGTAAATACCAAGTACCTCAGTTTGCCAAGTTTTAGGAAATTCTTTAAATCATTCCATGTAATTCTCAAAGTAATCCTATGAAGTAGGTGAGTCCAGATATTACCAGCAAACACTGATCTTAGAGAGGTTAAGTAATTTG